TCTGTCGTTCGGGCAAGGCCGCCACGTTGATCTTCCTAAAAGATAAAACCAAATCTGGCCGACACAATACATCACTTCCATGTCTTTCTCTCTTTCTTTTTTTTTTTTTATTTTTTTTTTTTTTTTATTTTTATTTTTTTTTTTTTTTTTTTTTTTTTTATTATATTTTTTACATCTTTGTGATATTCCATTAGCCTTTTTATTAAAGTTGCGTTAAAATCTCCATGTTGCAAGTGCCAGATGTCCCCTGTCTGTTTGTATTCGTTTGCATTTTTAATTTTTGGGCCGGGCCCCCAGGCCGTCTGGCTTACTGGTCACTGCTACCATTAACAAATGTTGGTTTTCCACTTTTCCTTTTGTTATATATATATATATATATATCCAATTTATGGAAGGTTCCTTCTCTTATTTTTCCTTTTTTTTGGACATTTTTTTTTTCTATCGTTGGAAATTTGGAATTTTGATGATATGATTAAAGTGGCAGAATGGAGGTGTGATGATATATGATTTCATATCCAATTTATGGAAGATTCCTTTTCTTATTTTTCCTTTTTTTTTGGACATTTTTTTTCTATTGTTGGAAATTTGGAATTTTGATGATATGATTAAAGTGGCAGAATGGAGGTGTGATGATATATGATTTCATATATATATATATATATATCACAAGGTATTTTTGACTCAAATTTTGTGCGTCTTGATATTAATCCTTTTTCAAAAATCTCAAGGGTCTATCCTCCACGTTATTTTAGTGTATTCAAGCATTTTTTTTTTAGTGTGAATACTAAAACTTAAACCTTACATTTAGACTGTAAAATGATACTTACCTATTAATGAATCCATTTTTTTTTTCTCTTAATGATATGATTAGGGCAACGCATGACCAATGGTTCCGGTCCATGGAAACTACTCAATAAGTGGTTGGTTTTGTAGAAAGTCTAGCGCTTATGCTAACCTGACCTTATTTTCAAAATTGATATCGCACTCACAATATAGGTGTTAATTCTATTGGCAAAGCACTTCTATTTTCTATTTTGTTAGGTAAGTTTCAATTTATGTAAAAGGTAACGAGGAATTAAGGTGAATTCATAATAAAATTTAATTATTTAGCTTTAACAAGACAAATGAAGTGTCTAACGCTGAAAAATGTTGTTAAACACAAAATGAACAAAAAAAAGAAGAAGCAGATCAGTCAACTTTTTAATTAATTCAAAATGTAGAGGAAAAAAATAAGCATTGTGCTTTGAAAAAAAAATTTTTTTGGCTGAAAACATAAGAAGTATTACTAATTAAAATCAAGTACACTGTCCAATGCTTATGCATCACAGACTGAAAAAACTACATGAACCTCTAAAACTAAGGAACAGGTGGAATTTGATAAGTTGAATTTGTATATATATTAACGTGAAATTGTTGTCTTGATATTATTGATATTTGGATTAACTTTATCAGATTTTACTGAGTTTTATGACATTTTACATGATTTTTATTTTTTGTGTAGAAAAGAACTTGAATGTATAAAAGAAGAGTTTTTAGGATTAATTGAACATCTTTTGAAAGTTGAGGGACTGAATTGCAAGAAAAGGGCGCTCCTTCGGGACCTTAATGAATGAATCTTGAGTTTTGAGATCTAAGTACTCATTGTACAAAAGTTGGAGAACAAATCTGCCATTTTACCATTGAAAAAATTGCAAAAGGAGGCCAGAAACTCGACAAGAGTGTAGTGTCAATTACATAATCGGGGTGTCGACACAATGCATTAATAGTCCATAATCAAACTTTTTATTTCCTATTTTGTGTCGACACTTAATTTGGCGTGTCAACACCATATGTTTGGCATCCAACATTCAAGTTTTTTATTCTGTTTCAAATCCTACTTCTATTCTAATTGGGGTTTTTAAAACCTTATAAATACCCATTCAAATTCAGAATTAGGAGATCTTGGTGGAGGTTGGTGGCAACTCTCGTTTGGGCAGTATTAGAAATCAAGATAAAGGTTTTATCAACAATAGAAAATTAAGAAATTCGATTTCCTCAAATTGAGTTTTGTTTTTCCTTACATTTTTATCTATTGTTTGATATTTGAATATTCTAATTTCAGATTTTATTATTTTTATTATGAACTAATTTATTTTACTAGGGTTAAAATGTAACCTAATTAATTCAATATAGATTTTGTGATTTTATGCTTTCAATTAAAATTATTCGCATGAGGAGTTTATACTATTGAACTTAATGCATTGGAAGCCTAATCATTTTTTAATTAATTTAGTTATTTATGCATGAACTCGAAAAAGAATTGCGTAGATTAGACTAATAATAATATAAACCGTGTGCTAGACTATGAGACCGAGAGGTAATTAACTCACATGTGATAGTAGAAGAAGAGAAGAGAGTTAGAAGCTTCTCCTTCTTAAGCTAGAGGTTTCCATAGAATTTAATGCTTATTAGTTTGTTTAAAATTATATAGAGATGTGATTAATTTAACAAACCAGTGAATGGTTAACTTGAGAAAACTAGTTAATTAATTTAGAGAAATCTACCATCATATGTAATAACACTCAATAAATTAACATATTAATTCAGAATTTATATTGATTGATTATGGTAAAATC